GTTATTGTCTAAACTTAGTCAAAAGCATGAGATTGTAGCCCTGAGCATATAAAAAGCCAAAGGAGACCACAGGGATTCTAGAAATTATAACTGAGGAAAAAAAAAACCAGACAAATATGAAATGTCCTTTTTTTCCTATTTCCCTTTCCTTCTCCTGCTCCAAAATTTTGATTTAATGAGAAGAAAATGCCATAAAAATAATTATTCATAAAACAGAATTCTATGGCAAGAATGCAATGTTTAAGATTAAAAAAAGGCCCATTTAAATAACACACATTAATAACTCATTTTAATGAAATCTGTTCAAGAGCTTTAATATTACACTCAATGCTTCAGTATGTCAAATAGAAAAACATAAAAAAATCTTTTGCTGCTACAAAAATGCCCTGAGAAATGGTCCTATGTTTCTGTATTTAAAATAGCAATATATTCAATATTTCAAAAATCTGCTTTAAGCTACAAAAGTGACTTTCATATTGAAAACAGAACCCCATCTCCCTTGCCAAAACATTTCAGAATAACATACAGCTGGTTCAGTCACTATTGTAATCATAATCACTCCTCCATTTGTGTACAAGGTTTGTAAAGGAAGTGAAAAATGCTAGGGATCCTTGGGTGTAAATTGTAGGAAAATTATCATTTTCAGCAAATGTTTATTTGGCACATTTATCTGAAACATTTTTAAAGGCTATTTGAGAAATACTTGCAGGGACTCTTTTATCTCTGCTACAATATAGTCAAAATCAATGGGCAGTTTCTGTTGGTGGTCTGAACTGGTACAAGCTTTTTAAGTTTACTGTACAGATTGATGCTATCTGAGGCAAACTGACAACCTTAGCCCCTTAGCCCTTAGCCTTAATACTGGATTATTTTAGCAAAGTACTATATAAACCAAAAAAAAGCCTCTTGCAAAACTCTATCTGTTTGAGATTTCCAAAGTAAAATAATCAGTCATTGTTTCCCTTTTACCACCAGAACACATCCCAAAGCCTATGCCCATCAAGTTTATTACAGTTTTCAAAAGGTTGAGTCAGTAGCACCAGTTACACTGACGGTTTGCTAAGAGAAGACTCCAGAAAGTTACATATTAGCACCAAGCTTTTGGCAGCGTTGTGGAATAAATAAGGAACAAATAGATGACAGTATTTTCCAGAATAATAACCCTTAGGTCATGTATCTGATGAATTTTGCAATACTTTTTCAAAACAGCTGATGACTTTTTAAACATTTTTCCAGCTGTGGAAATGTTCTGATGGTGTGATGAATAAATTATTCAGCAAATATTTCTTTTATTATTCATCTAGGTGTAGCAAGCTCCTTTGCCTGCTTCTAAAACTTTTCTGAGATGAAGAATGACGAAAGAAAAAAGCAAACCATTCAAGACTGAAAAAGCATTTGTCTGGTTGTTAGAATATGAGCAAAAAAACCCTGGACAAACGTTTCACACTTGCAGCCCTGAGTTCAAAATCCACTACTAGTGTTACCGTGAGGTACCTCAGTTCACACTCTGTTGCTTTCTCTGGGTGGCTAACAAAAAAAGCAATATATCTTCAGACATGATTTTCCTCTCCCGCTCCTTTCTGAATCTTTATTACTGTTCAGTCTCCACAGTATATCAACAAGATGTGTCAAGCCGGGAAATATTAAAGTAGTGGAAGAAATTGTTTCGTGCAAGACACGGTTTCTGCATTTTTTTCCAATGAAATATTTCAAATTGTATGCGGAGGTAGCATTTTGATGACAATGGGGCAGAATTAAGTCTGGAAAATATCCACTTCCGCACTGTCTGTCCAGCTAATGATTTACTAAGCGAATGTGTCATAGCCTCTGCATGGCTCTATTACAGATGATAGTGGAAGAACTAGATGGAGAGGAAAAATTCAAGAAGAACTTGCTTATTTCAAAAATTTTGCTAACCTTCATTTTGGGTAAGTGCTGACACTAGTGCTAGGGCAGCCAGCACTGCTGAGGACTGAGGAGCACTTCTCCTCCTGTACCATTTGCAGAACTTCTTGCAGTGGTACGGCTCTGATGAAAGACTGGCACTTTCACTCTGCTTTTTTATATGGTTGTTGCACTACTGGTGGTGAAGGATACTTGGCTTTCTCGCCTGCCTGTGCTGTCTTACAGTCAGCTGTGCAGCACTGATGGGGCTGGTGAGTGGTTATGTTTCATGGCAAGGATGGTTTACTTTGGGTGAGAGAATTCGAGAAACTGCTGCCATTCAGCAGGCTAAGGGATGCAGCTTAATACACTACTGTTGGAAATGCCACCTGAACGCAACCCTAATTGGTGATTACAAGGCCAAGTGCATGGTCCTCCATATGTGTTGGGGCAATCCCATGCATAAATACAGGCTGGGCAGATAATGGCTTGAGAGCAGCCCTGAAGAGAGAGACTTGAGGATGTTGGTGGGTAAGAAGCTCAACATGAGCCACCAATGTGATCACAGCCCAGAAAGTCCCCCACATCCTGGGCTGCATGAAAAGAAGCGTGGCCAGCAGGTCAAGGGAAGTGATTCTGCCCCTCTACTCTCCTCTCGTGAGACCCCAACTGGAGTATTGTGTCCAGCTCTGGAGCCCTCAGCACAGGAAGGACATGGACCTGTTGGATCAGGTCCAGATGATGGCCACAAAGATGTTCAGAGGGCTGGAGCACCACTTCTCTGAGGACAGGCTGAGAGAGTTGAAGTTGTCCGGACAGGAGAAGACAAAGCTCCAGGGAGACCTTATAGCAGCTTTCCAGTACCTGAAGGGTGCCTACAAGAAAGCTGGAGAGAGACATTTTACAGAGGCATGTAGTGATAGGACAAGCGTTAGTGGCTTCAAACTGGAAGGGGGTGGATTTACATTAGATATCAGGAAAAAAAATTGCACTATGCCGGTGGTGAAACACGGGAATGGGTTGTCCAGGGAAGCTGTGGATGCCCCATCCCTGGAGGTGTTCAAGACCAGGTTGGATGGGGCTTTGAGCAACCTGCTCTAGTGGGAGGTGTCCCTGCCCATGGCAGGGGGGTTGGAACTTGATGATCTGCAGTGGGCCCTTCCAACCTGAACCATTCTGTGATTCTATGGTTCATTTCTTCTTTCCACTGTGCTTGAGCAAGACAGATTAATTCCTCTTCCCATAGTTTAGTGAAGATGGTGATTAGGATGAAGATCTATGATTAAGAGATATGGAAGCCTAGAAAAAAATCCATAATTTGGAGGAAGTGGGGAAGAAAAGTCAGTACTCCATTTTTCAAGGCCTGCTGCAGTCAGCCTTTTGAAAGGCCATTATTTTAATTTTCTCTCTTTCATGCTTATAACAATGTATTTAGTGTAGCAAGTAATCTGGGAGGTAAGCCTTCCCAGAGCATTGCATTGCTAATTCCTCATTATATGCAATACTATGTATAAAACTTCCTAATTACTCTTGTTTCCCTTTAGCACTCACGTGGTGTGGCTGATACTTTTACAGGGTCACTGTAAATGCAAACCAGAGTGATGAGTGGACTCCTGGCAACTAATAGCACATATGGCGATGTCTTTGCAGGAATGGCAGGAAGATGAGTCAGTTTAAAGAGCATGGAGAAATAATTTACTTGTTAAACTTTCCTTAATGTCCCCCAGATGGCTGATGGACAGCGCTTTATTTAGGTTATTTAGCATGTATTTCATTTTCATTAGGACCACAAAGATGATAAGAGATTATAAGAAAGCATCTCTCTTATGTGGAAAGGCTGAGAGACTTTGGTCTTTTTAGTCTGGAGAAGAGAAGGCTGAGGGGGATCTGATCAATGCCTACAAACACTTAAAAGGGTGGGTGTCAAGAGGAAGGGGCCAGTCTTTTTTCAGGGGTGCCCAGTGACAGGACAAGAGGAAATGGGCACAAACTTGTAGATAAGAAGTTCCATCTAAACATGAGGAGGAACTTCTTTACTTTGAGGGTGGCAGAGCCCTGGAACAGGCTGCCAAGAGAGGTGGTGGAGTCTCCTTCTCTGGAGACATTCAAAACCCACCTGGACAAGTTCATGTGCAACCTGCTCTAGGTGGACCTGCTTTGGCAGGGGGGTTGGACTAGATGATCTCCAGAGGTCCCTTCCAGCCCCGTGATTCATTCTGTGGTTCGTAACGCGCACTTGTTTTGAGCTGTTTGAAAGCCGAACGGCAGAAGGAACGCCTGGGCTCCTGTTCCCGTCGCCTCTTTCCTCTTTCCGCCTCAAACCTGGTGACAAAGCCGGCGCGGAGCACGGCCCCTGCGGCTGCTGCTGCCCGGCTCCCGGAGCCGCCGCTGCCCGGTGCGCCGGGGCCCCCTGCGGGCCGGCCGCTCCCGCAGCGCGTCCTGCCCGCCCGTCCGTCCCCCGAGCGCTGTCTCGGTGTCCCGAGAGCAGGAGAGGCGTTTGTCGGTCCCTGTCCCGAGTGTGGTCCTTCTGGGGAGGGAGAACCATCCCTGGAGGTGTTCAAAAGACAGGTTGATGTAGTGCTGGGAGGCATGGTTTAGTGATGATGCTCCTTGTTTGTTGTGCGGGTGTCTATTTTTGTCAGTTGGTTGACGGTTGGACAAGATGATCTTTAAGGTCCCTTCCAACCTAGAAGATTCTGTGATTCTGTGATTCTGAGAAGCACCTCCAGGCTGAGTGCCGAGGTCTCTCGGGCGGGAACGGGCGGGTTGCTTCAGGCTCGCCCTGCAGCTGAGGGACCCCCGACTCTTCCCAAACGCGGGAGGGAGGGAGGGGAGGCGGGGGATTTCCG